CCTCGTCGTCGCCGTCGTCCTCGCCCTTGCACGATATCGCCCTCGTCCTCGTCCTCGTCCTTCTCGCCGCCGCCCCCGCTGTCGCCGCCGTCGCCGCGCCAGGGGGTGCAGTGCCAGGGGGGGGACCACCACCACGGAGGTCGCCAGCACCTCCTCGGGAAATCGAGGAGGGAAAGGAGGAGGAGGAGGAGGAGGAGGAGGAGGAGGAGGAGGAGGAGCAGGAGGAGCAGGACCAGTGCAAACCCAAGACTCATCAACGATGTTGAAATCGACCCTCCCTCCTTGTCCTCCTCCTCGCCGCCGCCGCCGCCGCCGCGCGCCGCGGTCGCCGTCCAGGCCTGGGGCGCCGCCGCCACGTGGTCCCCCACCGGCCCGGGCGTCGCCCTCGGCCTGGCGGCGGGCGCTCTCCTGGTGCTCGCCGCCGCCGTGGCCGTCGGCGTCTCGTGGCGGCAGGGACCCGCCGCCGCGCGCGCGCGCGCCCGCGGCCTCGGCCGGGCCGGCGCCCTCTCGCCCAGCGTCCTGCCCCAGCGCTTACCGGCTACTCGTGGCCCTGAGAGCCTGGCGACTCCATGTTTTCCAGCCGGGCGTGGTCGCCCCCTGTCGGGCCCCGGGGCCCTCACAGATCGGTGCGGCTCGAAAGGTGGCGCAGCAAGATGGGGTCCGAGGGTCCGGTCGCGATCTTCTGCGATGCTGCAATGTCTTGCAGCGTCGGATCTCAGGGAAGAGGAACCCTTCGCCAGAGTGACCTCTGGGTGCGGGCCCACCGGGTCCCCCGATCGCCGGATCGCGACGCGATGGTAGCGTCTTGCGCGCTCGTGTTTGTCAGGAGGGAAAGAAACACACAGACACAATTAATCGTCGATTCCCAAGAAAATATTGGAAAATATGGGAGGTGGGGGGGGAGACAAAACCCCGCCAAAATATAGGAAAATATGGGGAATCTGTTTATTTGTGTCTATTTATTTGCGTGTCCTGGGGCCCCTTCAGTTTGGGCCCCCCGCGGCCCCAGAGAACGCGGCGCACCAGTGGTCCGTCTTGCCCAGCGTCACTCTTCCGTGTAGCCGAGCTGACGCAGATCTCCGCCTTCGCGGGGGGGTCTGTGTTCCATCCCGGCGGGATTTATCCTCGGTGTCGGCCTCTGGGCGCCCGCTCTCGGGCCCCACGGTACCCTCAACATGGATCTGCGACGCGAGACGAATTTCAGGAGGGAAAGAAACACACAGACACAATTGATCGTCGATCCACAGGAAAATATGGGAAAATATGGGAAGTGGGGGGGGGAAGACAAAAAGCCAGAACATATGGGACAACATGGGAAATCCTTTTATTTATGTGTATTTATTTGTGTGTCCTGGGGCCCCTTCATAATTACACGCCGGTCATTGAGAGCAGGTATCTCTGGATGCGCAGGCCCGAATCTACTTCAAGCGCCCTCCTACTTCAAGAGCCGATGTGCTTCTGCTGTGATCCGTTGTTCTCTGGAGGGCCTGGACCCAATCTACTTTTTATCCGCCGTCCTATTTCCATGATGTGTCCCTACAGGGGGCCCCGGATTAGTAGGTCGACCCAGCCAGATCCAGGGTACCCTCGCGTCTTGTGTCCTGCGACCCATGCCTCCCGCATTCCTGTGGCCACGTGGCCCCCGGAAGGGTCTTCTGCCCTCTCGCGTGTCCTGTCCAATCCAGGCCGACTGCACTTCTTCCGACCGACGTGTGTCCCCTGGTTGGAATCGCCGCGGGGGCACAGTCGGCTCTCCTCTAGAGGAGGGGCGTCGGGGCGCCAACTTCCCGCAGCTCAAGGAAACACAATCGTCGATTATGTAGACTCGCATGGCGTCGTCAATGGTGTTTGCGTTTTTTTCGTTACGACGTTTCGTGAAGCGCCCTTACAGTCGGGGCGCTGAAGAAGGAATCCTTTTCGTTGAGGAGGGGCTCCGTGTTCCTTGATTGTTTTATAGCTTGCCTCAGGCTTCCCTTATGTTTTCGACAGGAAATCGAAGGTTAACTTATGGAAAAAAGAGGCCTCGTTCCTTATTTAGGGTTCCTTAGGTCAAGGCCCCGACTGTACCTCTCGACCCAGGGGACCCCTGGGTCGAGAGGCAAGGGCGCTCCACGCCTCCCTGCGGCGGGTCCTCGCCGCGCTGCCTCCCTCCCTGCAGCGGAGGGGTGGCCGCCGCTGGCCGCGGCCTCCGCCCCTCGCCGCCGCGGCCAGACCTCCGCCTCGGAGCCCTGGCCCGGGGGCGAGGCCCACGCGTATAGCCACGCTGCGCCGTGGTCTCCGCGCGCTATAGGCGTGCCCGCCGCCGCGCCCCCCGGGGGCGCGGCATCGCCGCGGTGGCGTCGGCGCTCCCCGATCGGCGGCCTGCCGCGCGGGCTCGGCGGGGCAGCCCCCGGAGCTCCCTCCCCGGGCCCGCCTCGGCGCGCGGGCGGGTGCTGCGAAGAAGCCTCCTCCCCTCCCCCCTACCCCCCTTCTGCGCGCGGCCGATCTTCGTCCCTAGATATCTGGCGGCGCGATCCTGGCTGGGGTCCCAAAACCGTGTGGTGTCAGACCCGGCGGGGACCTCGGTGCGCCACCACAAAAAGCTTTTGGGGCCTCGGGAACGGCTCTTCCGCATGCTCGGCCTCGGGGGGCCCTTACGGGGCCTCGGGCCCGTCCAGAAACGACGCGGGAGGAGAAACCGGTCCAGGGGAAGGGGTCGAGACCCTTGGAGGGTCGACGTTGTGGCAAGCAATCATGACGTCGGGGGTCTGGGAAGGGCAGAGGGCAGCCCCGGGAGCCCGTTCGGCCCCCTTTTGTGGCGTCGGCGGGCCCGGCCTGGAGCGGCGCCTGCAGGCTCAGCTCCGGGCCATGCCTTATTTCAACCATATGGGCGTGTCTTTCCGCCCCGATGTTTGGGGCCCAGGAGCCCTAACAGCTCGATCCGGCTCGAGAAGCGAGGCAGGGCGAGAAGAGAGGGCTCTGGGCGTTAGCCCTTGTCAGGGTTTCGGGCTTACGGTTTAGAGCCAAGGGTTTTTTAGAGTTGGGGGTTGAGGGTGAAGGGTTTTTTGTTGTTGTTGGCAGCGTCGGATCTCAGGGCAGGCCCGGGAGCCCGCTTGGCGCTTTCCCTGCGCAGGGGCCCTTGCCGGCGCCGAGGTGCAGGGCCGCCCAAGAGGGCCCAGTCCAAGGTCTGCCAATCCTCCTGGCGTGGTGGACCCAGACCCCCTCGGGTAATGAAAACATCATGACGGAAGTTGTTCCATATATTTGGTCTCTGGGGGCCCTCGTCGGCCCTCGGAACCGACAAACAAATATTCAGGATGAAAGCCGGTCCAGGGGAATGTGTCGAGACCTTTGAGGGTCGACGTTCTGAAAAATCATGACGTCGAGGGTCTGGGGAGCAAGGTCACGAGGGTGGGCTTGTGCCCACTGTCCGTCCATGTGGAGGCCCTCACCGGGCCCTGGGTCTCTTAGAGAAGGATCCCGAGCAAAAAATATGGAACACGGGAAGTTGCCGAGAGGTCCATGGACACCGCATTGGAGAAGTCACGACGTCGGAGGTTTGGTTCGCTTGCACCTCTTCCCCCTCTCGAAGACTCCCGCCGCTCCTCCTCCTCTTCCTCCTCCTCCTCCTCCTCCTCCTCCTCCTCCTCCTCCTCCTCCTCATGTCAGTCGGGGTGCGGACGGGGCCCGCGCCTAGGATGCCACATGCGCAGCGTGCCAGTCCATGAGAACACCGTGGCGGCCATCGAGCATTGGATCATGAGGGCGAAGACGCAGGACCTTGACTTCTACACATGCATGGGTCTCGTTTCTGGCCTGCACCAGCTGGGTCCAAAGACTCGGGCAATGATGCCCCGCGCAGTCCTGCTTTTTGTCATGCAGGGAATTCTTCCTGGCCTCCTCGTCCTCTACCACATGCGCGACTTCCACTACTACTCTCCAGTTCAGGACCTCTGGTTCAGGCTGTGCGCCGCGATACTGTTCTGCTTCTCGGTGGTGCACATGTACTGTGGCGCGTTCGACGAGTGCCGGACCATGTTCTTGGAGCTGGCCCTCCGGCACCACGTCGTCTCGTGGTGGTTCCTGTGGCCCATGCTCGTTGGCGAGGCGGGCCCGCCCGAGAGGGGAAAGGCGTGGCGAGGGGGAGCACAACGGTCAGGGCAACGGCGATGACGAAGCCCGGCTTGCGGTCGACGTGATCGACGATGGCGACGACAGGCACGACGCCGAGGACGACGACGGCGGAGCGCGGCCTGCGGTCGACGCACGCGCTCGCAGACGCAAGTCACGCCGACAGAGGTCTGGGCCATTGGCGGGACCCGGACATCCGCTTGCTGTGAGAAGATCACGGCGGCAGGCTTTTTGTGATTCTCCGCCTCTGGGGGCCCCTGGCCGGGCCCCGGGGCCGTAAAGTACAGTCGAGCATGGGATCAAGAGACCTCCTCCCGAAAAGTTGGGCCAGTATTCCTGAACCAATTTGCTGGAAGGCTGGGCCAGATTCTTAGGCACATTCGTCCCTCCAGCGGAAACAACACGTGGGCCCAAGTCTGTGTGAACTCATGTCCCGAAAACTGGCCCAGGTGTCATGAATGACGTTTTCTTGATCTTATGTTCGGCTGTAACGGCTCGAAGTGCAAAGCAAGGTCTGGGGAAGGGGTCTAGACCTTCACGGTCGGATGTCTGGGGCGCGGTGGGGGGCGGGGCACGGTTGACATCGAGGTGCCGTCAGCGAGCGAGGGTCGGGGCGTGGGTGCGCAGTGCTGCCGTCCGCTTGCTTGAGGCTGCTGTTTCATTTTGCGGGTGGCCTTCTGCTGCAGGTCAGCCATTGTCATGGGGGCGTTCTTGTGGATGGTGATGCAGCAGGGGGGGCTCGCACGCGTTCGCAGGCAGATTGCTTCGATGATGGCCTTAGGTCCGATGTTTTTGTTCCTGACGTCCGTCGCGCAGCCTGTCGGCGATTCAGCCAAGGAGGGTGGGGTGCTCGCCTCAGGTGTTGAACGCGTTCTCGGCGTACACCCTGGTGATCACACTGATCCTCGTGTTCTGCCACGTGGACAAAGGGGGGAGGGAGCAGAAGCATCTTGCGTCCATGTTGCTGTCCAGATGCCACTGCAGGACTTGACGAGGAGCACGACGCATACTCTCTTGAAGTTCCCATCCAGGGAGCGTGTTGAAGGCGAAGGGGGAGTGGCTGCGAGAGTGCCGCGACGGAGCAGAGCCGCGGGCACAAGCCCTGGATGAGGTTGAGGCTGAGACTTGTTCTTCCGAGCGAGCCTACCGCGCGGCGCGTCGAGCACGCGTGCCCCCGCCGCGCCCCTGCGTGCACGGAGATCCCGGGGCACCGTCGCGAGGCCGCCCGGGGGTGAGTGGAGCCCCGCCAGACGCCGCCCCAGCCACTGCACGCCGCCCACTCCGCGAGGCACCGCCCCGCCTGCCAACCCGCCGCCTCGCCCGCCCGGACGCCGCCGAGCGCCGCCCCGCCCACGGGCGCCGCCCCGCCGGCCCCGACGCCCCGGCCCGCCGAGCGCCGCCCAGCTGCCCCCCGACCCGCCCCTGCACCGCCGCACCCTGCTGGAGTGTCTGAGGCGGTGGGGCGCACGGCGGGGGTCGCGTGGGGGAGGGGAGGCGCGGCGCGCGCGGGAGTCCCCGACGAGGGGTGCCGTGTGGACTTTTCGAGACTGGAGATCGCGCGTGGGCGCGAACACGAGCGTTCCGGTGGTCCGTTCGCAGGTCCTCGATCGGCGCCGAGCCGTCCCCCCCGGCGGCGCCTCCTGCGCCGCCCCTGGCGCGATCCTCGCGCCAGGGGGGGGAGGTTCAGCGCCGCTCCGAGAGATCCGCTCAGAGCTCTCAGCGCTCGTATGTTTCCGCATCTGCTCGACCGCTGGCGCAGCAACCTCTGCCTCGCCGCCGACGACAAGCAGCTGTGTGTGTGTGTGTGCATCTGGGGCGTTCCGGGAAGCGCCTCGGCTCCGAGGGCCCAAGGAGTTGGCAGCCCAGCCCTTCCTCGGCGGAAGGCGGGCGGAAGAGGCCAGCGGCTGCTGGCGTCATCCGCCCAGCGTCGGTCGCCCGCGCCCGCGCAGGCCTGGGAGGGGGCGTGCCGCGCCCGACGACGAGCCCCGTGCGGGGCCCGCGCGGCCCGCCCCTGCGGCGCAGGACAACACGCCCGAGCTGCTCGTCCACTGCCTGGCCATCAACTTCATCGTGGGCGGGGTCGTTGTCGTCCCCTGAGATCCTCGCGCTGCGGTCGACAGGCACGGCGACGAGGAGGACGACGAGGATGCTCGGCGTGCGGTCGACGTGATCGACGACGATGGCAGGCGAGCGCGACTACGAGGACGACGACGGCAGCGCGCGGCCTGCGGTCGACGTGCTCGCAAACAGATCGCGACGACGGAGGTCCGCGCAGGGGGACCCTGACATCCTCGCGGAGTGGAAAAGTCACGACGGAAGGTTTGGGTGATGTTCGGCCTCCAGGTTGGGAAAAGGTCACGACGTCGGACGCCACCGTCGTCAGTCGCCTCCTCTTCCTCCCGCTGTGGAGCGTGCCCCGGCCGTGGTACAGAGACGGCCCAGGGCATGCATTTCCTTGCCTTGTTACCTAACAGCGAAGACTGATAGGTTTCTAGTTGACTCAAAAGAGCTCACAGATCACTCCACAGGGGGGTCCGGGCAGGTGTTGGGGAGTTGCCGGGCGGCAGGGTGCCGGGCTCGTTTTTCACCAACAGTCACACACTTCGTGCTCTTCGACTTCCCAGAACTCCATTCCCAGGCCACATTCTCAATACCCGGATGCAACAGTCACACACTTCGTGCTCTTCGAGATCCCAGAACGCCATTCCCGGGCCACATTTAGAATAACCGGATGCAACAGTCACACACTTCGTGCTCTTCGAGTTCCCAGAACGCCATTCCCGGGCCACATTCTGGAGGGCCGGATGCAACAGTCACACACTTCGTGCTCTTCTAGTTCCCAGAACTCCATTCCCGGGCCACATTTTGAATGCCCGGAGCCAACTGTAGGCCACTTCGTGCTCTTCGAGTTCCCAGAACTCCATTCCCGGGCCACATTTTGAATGCCCGGAGCCAACTGTAGGCCACTTCGTGCTCTTCGAGTTCCCAGAACTCCATTCCCGGGCCACATTTTGAATGCCCGTAGCCAACTGTAGGCAACTTCGTGCTCTTCGACTTCCCAGAACTCCCATTCCTGGGCCACATTTTCAGCAGGGGCAAGAGCACGACGAGGAGGAGGACGAGCAAGACCAGGAGGACGAGGACGAGCAGGAGCAGGACGAGGAGCAGGAGGAGCAGGAGAAGAAGGACGAGCAGGAGGAGGAGGAGGACGAGCAGGAGGAGGAGGACGACCAGGAGGAGGAGGACGACCAGGAAGAGGAGGAGGAGGAGGAGGGGAGGGGGAGGAGTACCAGGAGGAGGAGGAGGAGGAGGAGGAGGAGGAGGAGGAGGAAGAGGAGGAGGAGGAGGAGGAGGACGAGGACGAGGAGGAGGAGGAGGAGGGGGGGGGAGAGTACCAGGAGGAGGAGAACGAGGACCACCAGGAGGAGGAGGAGGAGGAGGAGGAGGAGGAGGAGGAGGAGGAGGAGGAGAGAACACCAGGAGGAGGAGGACGAGCAAGACGAGGAGGACGAGAACGAGGACGACCAGGAAGAGGAGGAGGAGGAGGAGGAGGGGAGGGGGAGGACTACCAGGAGGAGGAGGAGGAGGAGGAGGAGGAAGAGGAGGAGGAGGACGAGGAGGAGGAGGAGGAGGAGGACGAGGAGGAGGAGGGGGGGGAGAGCACCAGGAGGAGGAGAACGAGGACCACCAGGAGGAGGAGGAGGAGGAGGAGGAGGAGGAGGAGGAGGAGGAGGAGAGAGCACCAGGAGGAGGAGGACGAGCAAGACGAGGAGGACGAGAACGAGGACGAGCAGGAGGAAGAGGAGGAGGAGGAGGAGGAGGAGGAGCAGGAGAAAGAGGAGGAGGAGGAGGAGGCAGGCTGAGGCTGAGGCTGTGACTGCGACTGCCGTTGCCGCTGCGACTGTCATCGCGAATGCGACTACGACTGCGAGAACAGCAGAATTCGACAACTGGATTTTCATCTGAATCTTAAGGGGAATGCTTTCAGATATGCTTCTACACATCGCTGTTAGGTTGCTTTGCCGGGATAATTTTCTGGCCTGCGGCGGGCCATTTGGGGCGTTCCAGAAAGGGCCGCACCTTCTGCGCAGCTTCCGTCGGCGGAAGCCGGTGGAGGGCGGCGGCAATATAAGGCGGCGGCGGGTCCGCTGGTGGAGCGCCTCGGCAAGAGGCGGCGGAAGCATAGGTTGAGACTTTAGCATGTCTTAATCCAGGGCTTCCGTTAAGTCGGGCACGTCCCTCTACAGGAGGAATATTCAAGAATAGTTTTAAACATCGACTGGGGACGAATCTTCCAGTAAGTTTGACTGGTGCCGAATCTTTTTTGACTGTGTTTCATTTCTGTTCCCCAAAATCCGCCTTTAGGAGGACATGCCCGACCTAAGGCTTCGGGAGTCGGCTACGTGATGCGTGAAGAGTCTGGCCGCGCGCAGATTAGGGAGTCGGGGGAAGGGGGGGCTCTCTGAGGAGGAGGCCTCTTGTCAGAGGACGCGGGCCCCGTTGGTAGATGGCAAGGCCCGCGCCTTCTGAGAAGGAGCCTCCTCCTAAGGAGCCTCGCCCCCCTCCCCCACCACCCCCTTCCCAGACCCCCGACGTCATGATTTTTTGTCATGGCGTCTACCCCCAGTGGTCTCGATCCATTCCCCTGGACTGGTTTTTCATCCCGAGTCGTTTTTTCACAGTCCCGAGGACCGTAAAGGGCCTCCAGAGGCCAAACATAACGAAACACCTCCCGTCAGGATTCGTCATTGCCCGAGGGAGTCTCGGTTGTGCGCGCCGCCGGAGAGCGTGGTGGCGCCTTCAGCCAGCGTGGAGCACTCCGGCTCACTGCTGGCCTCCACCTCCAGAGTCCGCCTCCAGCGGCCGGGGCCCTCGCGGACGCCTGGAGGCCAGACCCCCGGAGGCCCGTGGGGGACCTCGGGGCCCGCCTCCTCCTGGCTCTTCTCATCGGCTCCTCCTCTCCTCTGCTCCTCCTCTGCAGCTATGCTCCCGGAGAGCCGGATTTCTCGATGAATGGGCTTTGTGGATGTCGCCATTGGTTGCTGCCTCAGGCTCCGTGGCCCCCCCACTGCCGAGGCCGGCCCGAGGCTTCAACATGCCAGCCCAGGTGGGGGCGTCTCCATCCATCCATCCATGGGGGAAGCGGGTCTTGAGGGAAACGGGTCCTGAGGTTTCTCGCCGCGCTGGGCTTCCAGGGGCCTTTAGAAAACGGCTCAGGATGAAGAACTCATCCTAGGGAAGGCCCCGGGGTCCACGAGCCGTTACCCACAGGACCCGTTCCCCCTGCAAATCGTCCCCCTCCGGCAGGTTCATGCTGCGATGGCGCACCTGCGACTCCGGCAAACGCGTTCCAGGTTGAACTCCAAATGATAGAACGACACGGAAGCACTGAGGGGCTCGGTAACGCCACAGCACCCGACGGAATTCAATATTGAACGAACGAGGCCGCGATCGATTCGAGGTTGAACGTCTGACGCGGGGTCGAAAACTTTGGCGGGCGCCGACGCCACGCGGACCGACCGTAACTGCGATCATCGTCCTCTACTCCTGTTGGGCAGGCCTGGAAGATGCGTCGCTTCAGAGCGTTCCAGAACGCTCTCGGCGTGTTTCGTAGCGGCCTGGAGTGGCCGCCGCGCCCGATGCATTCTCCAAACCCGCCAGTCATCTGCGATCTCCGACTATCCTCGGCCCGATGTTATCTTCGTCCTGGCGTCGTGCTGCAGTCGGACCGAGGTAAAAGATCGAGGTCGGCTCGGGGAGGGTGCCCTAGTGCTCTTCGTGCTTGTTGGATGTTCTTGGGCCTCCTGGGCAGGGTACCCTTAGATGGTCTGTGTATTTTGGCCAGTAGCGGGGGGTCTCGTGTTCTTGCGGGATGCTCTTCCGGCCTATAGCCGACTGTATATTCTCTTCCTCCCCTCTGGAGGGATTCTCCGAAGGGCTTAGGCGACCCGTCCTCCTCCTCCTCCTCCTCTTCCTGCCCCTCCTGCCCCTCCTCCTCCTCCTCCTCCTCCTCCTCCTCCTCCTCCTCCTCCTCCTCCTCCCATTCCTCCTCCTCCTCCTCCTTCTCCTCCTCCTCCTCCTCCTCCTCCTCGGGTCGCCCACGGCCCCGGCTGAAACCGTGCACCCCCTTCTTCGTCCTCTTCCGGGCGATGGGCTCGAGGGTGGAGGTGGAAGTGGGCCCAGCGAGCGGCAGTGGGAGGGAGCGGCGGCAGCGGGAAGGTCAGCATCGACAACGACATCGTTGACGAGGACATGCGGCACTTCTCGATCTCGAAGCTTCATCAGGCACTGGCAGAAGGGAAGAGCTCGCACGAACAAGGAGATCTCCAGTGCCCTGGCGCTGGTAATCTCCACCGTCCGCAGAATTTAAGGTGCAGGCCTCTTCGTGGTGGCGCAGCCTCTTGAGAGCAAGCAGGCATAGGGATTGCGATACCCTCGCGCGCGTAACTTGTTGGCTTGCAAAATGAAGGGTTCTCATGACAGAGACGCGTACACCTCGTGTTCGCAAAATCGGCGTATCCCGGTGGCAATCTTCGTGGCAGTGCGTTTGCCAATCCTAAGCCTTTGCAGTGGTCAATGCAGGTATGCGATGCTACATGCTAGCTGCGGATCTCTGCGAGCACATGGAGAGACCGCTAGAGCAGCATGTTGCGTTTGGTCTAGTGGCCTTCGGCCCATCTTGCCACCGTGCCTCTTGGATGCCCGTGGGTATCTCTTGGGAGGCCTCTCGGAAGCCTCTTCAACGCGGTTATGGGGATGTCTTGGGACAAATGAGGGGCCTCTTGGGGACCTCCTGGGGCCTGAGGTGGGCCTCTCGGTGGCCTCCTGAGGCTCAGGGCGGGCACCGTGGGGGTCTGGTGGCGGTCTCGGGGGTCATTTTGGGGTGGAGGGGTCGAAATCTCGGTTCGTCTTCCCCCTCGAGGGCCCAAAGGGCCGTCCTGAGACCTCTTGGGCCGTCTCGGGGACCTCTCTGGGAGCCTCTTTGGGAGATTTGCGGGCCTCTTGGGTCGTCTTGGAGCATCGCGATCCCTAAAAGGCGAGCACGCTACCATCGCACAACAACCCCCAGGAAAGTCAATGATGTTGGCCTTTTGGGGCCCTCTGGCCTGGGGCATTATGAAGGCCTCGTGGGACGTCGTGAGGCCATCTCGCGCATAGTGGACCGCCCAAGGGCCGACCCCAGGGCCCTCTTGGATCGTCCTGGGCGCCGCCTCTTGTGGTCCTCTTGGCCCGGTTGGGGCTCCCCTTGCTTCCGAAGACGCGATGCGGAGAAACGCGCCTCGGCAGATGGGAAGCCCCCGGATTTGTTTATAATTTGGGGTCCGGGTCCTTCGATACTTATGAAACTTTCGGGGCTGTGAGGGGGGAGGTCTGGTGGCGGACTGTGGGAGCCTGGGTGACACATCGCGACCGCAGCGGTGTTCCCTCATTCATGCCCTCGCAATGAGCATCGTTTAACCGATCCCCATCCCCACCAGCGTGGGCTCGGCCCCACTGGCCGATTTACCCGTAGGCTGCTCTCTTCGGGTTCCGAGGGGCATATCCCCAACTGAGTTGGTGGGACGGTGGGGCTCGAGATTTGGATCGGGATGGAGATAGGGATCGGTCGAAAGCTGCTACTCCGCCCCCACCCCGCCGGGGCAAGACCTGGTGGCAGGTACTGCGTCCTGCGCATCACGACGACGGTGTGCGCCGTGACGCGCGTCGTGCTGACACTGTGTGTGGGCTCGGCAGGGCGGGCAGGAGCACACAACACTGCGGAGCTCCCTCCTTGTCGTTCTCGTCGTCCTCCTCGTCCTCCCTGCTCCTCCTCCTCCTCCTCCTCCTCCTCCTCCTCCTGCTCCTCCTCCTCCTCCTCCTCCTCCTCCTCCTCCTCCTCCTCCCCTCCCTCCTCATTCTCTGGGCCCTCGGGGGCCATCGCTCATCTCCGCGGCGGGGCGCAGCTCGGAGCACGAAGCAGGATTGAGCCCAGGAGGGGCCCGGATGCCGGTTCTTGGCTGGTTCTGGCGGTGGGGGGGGCGGCCAGGCGGGGCTGGGGCCAGGATGCAGTCAACCCACACAATAGTTAGGGTGCGCGGTAAGGATGCAAGGGGCCTTGGAAGCCCATGTTGACGTTGTTCGAGTGGGGATGGGCCGAAGGGTTGGGTCGAAGGGGCAAGGATGGGAAGGTAACCTTGGAAAGGTGCTCATCATTACTATGCGGTTTGAGTGAAAACCCTTCCAGAGCTTTCTGGATCAATTGGCGTTTTGGAGAGCTCTGGAGTGGAACGGCGGCGGCGTCCGATACATCCTCCAGAACCGCTGGATCTCAGAGATCCCCAATGAGTCTTTGTACGATTTGGTCCTTGTCCTGGCTTCGTCGTAGAAAAGGGGGCCAGGGGACCTCTGTTGCCCCTGGGCGCTCTCATGCAAGCACTTGGGGCTCCAAGACCACAGGAAGTGGAAGACAAGCACCTACGCATTCGCTGTGTCGCCAGCGGCATTGGCGATGCAGCTGGCGTGTCACAGCAGCGGTTTGCGCTTCCGGCGGTAGCGGCAAGCACTCATCTGTTGCACAGGGGGGGGGCTGGCGACGGGTGGTGGAGACGGCTGTCGAAAAGGGGCGCGTTCTGCATGTGCCATGTGCCTTTGCAACGGAGGGGCGCCAGCTGACGAGAGACGCGCTGTATTCGGCCTAGGTGGAGGGGGCGGAGGGGAAGGAAGGGAGGGTGGATGAGGGACCCCAGACCCCCGACAGCTCGATCTTCTTAAGTTGGCGACCCCCAGGTCCCTCGACCGCTTCCCTTAGATAGGCCTTTTTTATCCTCTGCCGATGATTGACTGGCATGGGTGCATGACATGGCCTGCGGGCGCCAAAAATTGCGGAAGAGATTTGGCGCGATGGTTTGGGGTCGTTAGATTTCTTGGGACAGCAAGGGAAGAAGAGGGGGGAAGGAGGGATGCAGGGGAGGGGGGAGGGTGGGGGACGAAGAGGGAGTGGGAGATCCCAAGCAGGGTGAGGGGCTCTTCCCTCTTCTACCTTTTTCTCTCCTTCCTCGTCTTCCTTTCCTCACTCAGCCCTCTCTCTCTCTCTCTCTCTCTCTCTCCTAGATCATTGTCCTCCTGCTCCCGCCTCTTTCCCCTCTTTCTCTTCCTCCACCACCCTGATCCTCCTACCCCCCATCCTGCCGCTCCTCTTTCCCCTGCTTCTCGTCCACCTCCTCCTCATCCTTCTACTCTTCCTCCCTCTTCCTATCTCCTCCTCCTCCTCCTCCTCCTCTTCCTGCTCCTCCTTGTCCAACGCCTTGTCCTCTTCCGTGTCCTCGTCATTCATCCTCACCCTCGCCCTCGTTTTCCTCCTCCTCCTCCTTCTCCTCCTCGCTCCTCCTCCTCTTCCGCCTCCTTCTCCTCGTCCTCCTCCTCCTCCTCCTCCTCCTCCTCCTCCTCCTCCTCCTCCTCATCATCCCCTTCCCCTTCTCCCTCCGCCTCGTACGCCAACCTCTCCCCCTCCTGCTCCTGCTGCTGCTTGTCATCCTCCTCCCTGCTCCGTCCTGGTACCGCCAAGAAGCGACTCAGGGTGAAAAGCGGGCCCTGGCTCGGGAAGGGGTCCAGACCTCGGGGGGGGGGACGTCGCGAACAAGACACGACGTCGGAAACCTATATGCGAGGGGGGGGGTGGGGGGGAGGGGGCACGTTCCGAAAAAGACGCGACGTCGGACATCTACCTGCAAGTGTGGGGGGGGGGGGGGGGGCGGAAGCGGGCGAGAGCGTGGATGAGAAGCCAGGGGGGGGGGGCGCGAGGGGAGGGCTCCTCGCCTCGAGCCGCTCCTCGACACGAGGGGCGCGTGGGGGGAGGGAGCGGGGAGGATGGGGATCATGCTGAGGCCAGGGGGGGGAGCGAAGACGAGGACGAGGACGAGGACGAGGACGAGGACGAGGAGGAGGAGGATGAGGAGGAGGAGCGAGGAGCGAGGAGCGAGGAGCGAGGAGCGAGGAGGGGAGGAGGAGGAGGAGGAGGAGGCGGAGAGGAGGAGGAGGAGGAGGGAGGAGGAGGAGGAGGAGGAGGAAGGAGGAGGAGGCGGAGGAGGAGGAGGAGGAGAAGGAGCGAGGAGCGAGGAAGAGCGAGGAGGAGCGAGGATGAGGAGGAGGAGGAGGAGGAGGAGGAGGAGGAGCGAGGAGCGAGGAGCGAGGAGAGGAGCGAGGAGGAGGAGGAGGAGGAGAGGAGGAGGAGGAGGAGGAGGAGGAGGAGGGAGGAGGAGGAGGAGGAGGAGGAGGAGGAGAGGAGGAGCGAGGAGCGAGGAGCGAGGAGCGAGGGGGAGAGATGAGGAGGAGGAGGAGGAGGAGGAGGAGGAGGAGGAGGAGGGAGGAGGAGGATGGGGGCCGCGAGGTGGAGGAGCACAGGAGGACGAGCTGAAAAGAGGGCGGGCGAGGAGGAGCTGAGCTGGGCAGGGCGGCGGGTTGCACGGGAGGCGACGGGGAGGACACGGGGAGGCAGTGCGGGAGGGCAGTGCGGGGGATGGGGGGGGGGCAGAACGATGAGAATGAGGGCAGGGGGGAGGGGCAGGAGCGACAGGGAGGAGTCATGGGGGCAAGCGAGCACAGGTACGAGGAGAGGGGTTGAGAAGACAGACAGAGAGAAAGAGAGAGAGAGAGAGAGAGGGGGGGAGAGAGCGAACAACCCAAAAGAGAGGCATAGATATCTAGAGAGAGAGAGAGAGAGAGAGAGAGAGAGAGAGGCGGAAGGAGCCTCGTGAGGGTGGGTGGTTGGTTGGTTGGAGGGGTTGGGGATGGTGAGGAGGGGGGTGGGGAGGGAGGGTGGGAGGGAGGGAGGGGGGAGGAGCAGGACGGAGAAGGAGGGATGAGGGAGGGAGGGAGGAAGGAGGCGAGGGAGGGTGGGAGGCGGAGGAGGGGTGCGCGAAGATAGACGGACGAGGGAGGGAGAACTGGGAGGCACACGCAGAAACGGGAGGGAGGCAGGTAGTGCAGCTGAAGCTGGCTTGTAGAAGGAGCCGTTCCAGCAAGGCACCCTGGCATCTCTCGGGTCTGGGTATCATGTGCACGCGTTCTGCTCCCTCGTGTCCACGGCACCCCTAGAGACTTGGACTGGCCCTGGTGTGTTGCATCCCTACTCTCGATGGCCATGCTTGCGCTCCACCGTGAGGAGAAAGCTTCGGAGGCGGGGGGGGGGGTGGGAGCGGGGAAAGGGGGGACGCTGTGAGGAGGGAGGAGGGGTTTCGTGGAAGGATTGGGGGAGGCGGAAGTAGGGAGGGAAGGAGGAGGAGGGAGTGAGGAGGGAAGAAGGGAGAGGGGGTGAGGCAGGAGAGAGGAGGGAGAAGAGGAGCGGGGGAAGAAGAGAGAGCGAGAGAGAGAGAGAGAGAAAGAGAGAGAGAGAGAGGGGTGGGTGGGAAGTGTAAGGGGTGAAGGCGTGGAGGGAGGATTGAGGGCTGGAGAACGAGGAGGACGGATGGCTGATGGTGGTGATGATGTTGCGGCTGATGTTGTTGATTGATGCTGATGTTGGTGATGAGGATGATGTTGCTGATGCTAATGATGATGACGACGACCATGATGATGAGGATGGCGACGCTGATGCTGATAATGATGATTCTGCAGACCATGCTGATGATGTTGATGATGCTGAAACTGACGATGGTTTCGATGCTGACGGCGGGGAGGACGGTGGTGATACTGGCGATGCTGGTGATGATGCTGATGGTGATGCTGATGATGGCGGTGGTGGTGATGTTGATGCTGTTGCGGACGGTGATGACGAGATGAATGATGATATTGTTGGCTGTGGTGGTGATGGTAATGCTGGTACTGGTGATGACGATGCTGTATGCTGATGATGGTTATGACGATGACGATGGTGATGTTGTTGATGATGATGCTGGTGTTGATGATGACGATGATCCGGCTGTGGTGACAGATGATGGTGATGGAGATGGCGACGATGCTGATGATGATGGAGCTGATGGTGATGATGCTGATGATGTTGTTGCTGGTGATGCTGGTGGTGGTCATTGTGGTGGTGGTGATGATGCTGGCGACGAGGATGGTGGTTCTGATGTTAGAGCTGGTGCTGGTGATGGTGATGATGCTGGTGATGATGCTGATGATGATGCTGATGATGGCGATGGTGGTGATGCTGGTGCTGCCGCGGGCGATGATGACGAGGTGTATGATGATACTGTTGGCTGTGGTGGTGATGGTAATGGTGGTACTGATGATGACGATGCTGATGATGCTGATGAAGGCGATGACGATGACAATGTTGATTATGTTGTTGATGATGCTGGTGTTGGTGATGGCGATGATCCTTCTGAGACGATAATGATGGTGATGAAGATGGTGGCGATACTGCTGATGATGATGAAGCTGATGGTGATGATGCCGATGATGCTGTTGCTGGTGATGCTGGTGGTGGTCATTGTGGTGGTGGTGGTGATGATGCTGGCGACGAGGATGGTGATGCTGATGTTAGAGCTGGTGATGGTGATGATGATGCTGGTGATGATGATGATGATGATGATGATGATGCTGGTGATGATGTTGACGATGCTGCTGGCGCTGCTGATGATGCTGATGATGCTGCTGCTGTAGATGATGCTGATGCTGATGATGTTGATGATGGTGATGATCGTGATGATGATGATGAGGATGGTGATGATGCTGATGCTGATGATGATTATTAAGAGGAGGATGATGATGCTGCTGATGCTCATGATGATGCTGATTAGGAGGAGGCGGCTGAGTATGCTGCAACTGATGATGCTGATACTGATGCTGCGGGGGAAGAGGAGCAGTGCACAGAGCGAGCAGGGAGAAGAGGGCAGCATATCAACGGAACAGGGGGGGCAGGCTTGGGCTTCTCGGTGATTTTCTTCTTCGCCCACCAGGACAGCCGTCGTACGTATGTTTGTTGCTGCCTATTGGCATCTCGGCACCCTTCTCTGCCAGGATCGGTGAGCCTGTAACTCCTCGGCGTATTTCAGAACGCCATGTCGCCCCTGCGCGCCAGGAGGAGAAGGAGGAGGAGGAGTTGGAGGAGGAGGAGGAGGAGGACGGCGACGAAGACAACGACGATGGCGACGACAACAATAACAACAACGACAACAACACCACCAACAACAGCTCGTATCTGCGTGCGTGCCACTCAACACGTATATCCCAAACCCTCGATACCCGCCCTCGTTGTCTTCGATCGTACCCCCTTGGGGGTAATTATTTCTTACCTGCGGCGTGTATTGCATGCAACCCCTACCGCAGGCGGGCGGGTTGTTTAAGCGTGTGTCCTGCATGAATCGCGAATATCAAGCTATAGCGCGATTCCCAAGTAAATCGTGAGGCAGGCCAACGCGAGAGCGTGTTTCCTGAGTGTCGATGGCGCGGCGTCTGAACAAATTGCGAG